ATTGTGAATTATGTGTTAGTTTACATGGATGGACATTATCTTTACATTCATCCTATCGTACTTTGTTTCACTGCAATGATCATAATCCCCTGCATGCATCATCAAACACCCAAAGGGCACACTCCACAATTTTGCCCCCCAGTTGCCAGCACACAACCCCTCTCCCTCTTTGAGTCCAGAGTCCCCAGCTGCTCCTTCTGTCCACATCACTGCCTCTGCCTCCATCCTAGTGTCACTGCCTTTCTGGACGCGGTCTTTTCTCCCTTGATGGTTCCAGGGATCTCCGCTCCTGGACTGTAATTAAAATCAACTGCTCCCCTCCTTTTGTTATCAAACATTTACATTTACCTTTCCAACACTCACTGTCAGACCTGATAGCAATCATTCCCTTTTGAATCACAGGAGTCCTTTCCCCCTCATCTTTTATTAACCCCATCCAGACAGGTTGGAAACAATTCAGTGGAGGTTCTACCTTTCTCTGTATCCTCTGGAGCTAGGTTCTCTATTGAAAGCTTGTAAGTCAGTCACTTCTTGCCTTTGTAGTCCCCCTATTTTGGGTAGCCAATGTCTAAGATCCCCCTCCCTGTCGACCCTGTGGGTGGGAATGATCCTCATGGTAGAGATGTGTCCGCCCCTTTGTCATACTGCATCCACAAGCATAGGTCAAGTTCATCCATTTATAGTGGGTTACTCCTTTATTTCCCCCTCTCTTCTTTCTTCCTCTAGCCGTGTTCTGATCATGCAGCCATTGATACCAGGTCAAATGGGTACTATCTGCAAGTCTTGGTGTTCTTGTGCAACCCCTCTCTTTATGTCAGCTGGATGCTTCACACTCTGTTCTAGTCCTCTGAGGCCATGTCCCTGCCCCTGGGCCCAGGAGTTCCCAGGTCTCGTCATAGTGTTGCTTAACCAGGTCTCAATCCAGGTTAACAGGAGTCTATTGAATGTGGTCGGACTTAGTTTACAACTTCATTGCTGTTTTTCCCCCTCTTCCCCTTATCGTTGACCAATGTGGTCAGCAGCAGGATCATATGCCTGCTAGTGTATTCCATATGAGTTTCAGTCTTGGAAGGGGATTTGCCTTGAGGAGACCTGACCACTTGCTTGATGGCTCCCTGGGGAACATCTTGCTTGTTCTTGCAGTAGTCAATTGGGCTGCTGCTGTTGTTGTTTTTTTCTGCTGGTCTTTCTTTCAAGAAGTATCTTCATTTCTTCTAGCTGCTCCAGACTGGTCTGCTTGTCCTTTCACATGGGATTGTCCCACCTCAGAAGATTCTGGATGAGGATCAGGATTCCACTTATGGTCTTGTGCAAAGCAAAAGCTCTGCAGGGAGCCTCCTTCACTGGGCAAGTTCTAGCCCATTTTAGTTATTCCAAACAGTTATAGGCTAAAGACGGACTTACAAGCTTTCTCTGGTGATGTTTCTGACTATTTCTCTCTCTCCCCTTCTAGTGTCTATTTTACAATAGTAAGCAAGGGAAACCAAGATTCAGTGGACAGCCAAGCATCTTAACATCATTTTCCCACTTTTACCCATTCAAACCATGACTCAGTCTTTGTATTCACGAGCCCTGTTGTTCCATGTTTGTGCTTTAATCGTTATTTACCACTGTCCCATTTAATCCATGTAAACCTGCCTAACTATTCTCCCATCTGCCTTATTTTTCCTTTCCCCTTCCCCTTCTAGTGTATGGCCCTGCCCTCATCACAAAACTATCCTGTGTCTATTCCATACCCT